AAATTTATTGATATTATAAATGAAATCGAGTAAAAAAGTTAATCTAATTACATATACATAATTACGCATACATAATATTATTTATATATATAGTGATATATAAAAAAAATTTTTTTGCTTTAAGTAAAAATTCATTAAAAATTTTATTTTTTATATTTGATATTTCTAAGTTTTTATATAAACTAACTATACAAAATTATTATGTTCGTGTATATTTAGTTAGGTGTAAATTTATTGATATATTTTTAGAATAAAATACGTAATATGCAAATTTTGAAAATAAAAAACATATAAAACAAATACAAAATAAAATGTAAAAAATATATCACATATACAAAAAAAGTATATATATTGTATAAAAACATATACAAAAATATATATAAACATATATTAAAATGCATAATAAATATAAAAAAATATATAAAATGTATATAAATAGAAAATATATTCGAAAAATAAATTATCAAGTAAAGGGAACTGTTAGCAATCAAATGTATAAAGTATATATATATAATCATTAATGCAGTTATGTATTATGTATGATTAAATATTCTATGTTTTTTTAAAAAGAATGAACAAAAATCATTAAAATAGTATAATACAGACTTTTTTATATGTATTTCATGATTTTCCTGCAGTTAGTTGGCACTTCTTGATTTTTAAATTTATTTTAATTTATATGTATGTGTTTTTTAGTTTTTTTTTTGTATTTTGATATTGTTAGCTAACACTTTGACTGTTGCTAATTATCATGTATTTATTATTTTATATTTATTATCTCTTAATTTCTATGATATACTTTAGCATACAAAGTGTTCAAACAAACGTTTCCTACATATTATATAAATTATTTTATTTTTCTTTTTTATGATTCTTTGTTGCTATTAACTAGAGCTTTTAATTTTTTCCCAAGAAGTTAGCTCATTGCTTTGATATTCATTTTGTATATATATAAATATTGATTTTATGAATATTGTTTTTGGTTAGCATTACCAACTCCACAAAGTAAAAATCTCCTACGTAGTTATCTCTTTGCCTGTATAGATCTGGACAGTGACCTAGTAAATGTTAATTTGTTATGTTACACCCTCGCCTAACTACTTTCGAAGCCTCTATTTTTAGCATCAATTAGATAGATTATTCTGTCCATAACATAACATCTTATTGATCATTTATTATTATATATAATTATATTATTAGTTATATATAATTATAACTATATATATTTTTGTTATATGGAACGTGTATTTTTAAAATATGTTAGATCGAAAAGGTTTCAATGAGTACAATATAAAATTTACTTTCTAAATAGTTCTCTTGTTCGCGATACCATAAAACAATGAAACCTTATTATTCCTTGTGAACTCCTATATTTAGAATTTTGGATTATATTGCTTTTAATAATACTTAATTTCCAAATTTACATAGAGTTCAACATAAAAGACTATTTATTTTCTAAAAATGGGAATAAAACTAAAAGAAGTTCTTAAGGTATAAATTACTTTTATGGATATCTAGCTTTCAAAATTATTTGAATCGCTATTTATATAGTTAAAAATTATATATAAAAATATGATAAGAATCGTTATAATAGCGATAAAATATATACATATATGTTATGTATATACAATGTTTCAACTTTTGTACTCAAATAGACAAATGTAAAATAATAAATGTAATTTTTTATACAAATTCCATACACAATCCATATAAAAATATACTAAACTACGATAAATCTAAGTGTTAACATAGTAATAAATATATAAAATAGCGATAAAAATTATATATATAATAATATGCTACATTACGATAAATCTAAGTGTGAACATTATAATAAATATACATATGATATATGAAATTATAATATTATAAAACAAATCACTTCGTTCTTAGTTTAGTTTATATGGTGAATGCAATGATTCTTGATTCTAGCTTGAGTGCAATAATTCTTTATATTTAGATATAGCGTTTATTTATTGTTTTTATTGCCTTTATTGCCTTTATTTATTTATTGTTTAATTTTGAATATATATTATTTAAAATATATATTATGTTAGTAGTTTACATGGTTGTTTTTTTTTTAATGGGATTAGTTTGCTGCCAAGTTCACTATTATGTTTGTCCCATATCGTGCTTCAATATACATTATTATAATAAACATAATTAATGAATGCTTCAATATTTAAAATCATAATTTTAACAATATTTTTATGCTTAGTAATTATATAGTTAGCAATATACTTTAATGAGATATAATTCACTAATAGTAAGCAATATTGAGTACTATAGCAATGATGTACTTATTGCAGGTAATAAATACAAAAGGACAAAGCTGAACCTTGAGATACTTCATCGAACACTGATTCGAAAAAATAGTGAGAGTGTTTTCATCTGCAAAAATTAGTTATATTTTTAATTCGACATAAAATTTATCCTAATAAATTTTTATATGATTTAGTCATGACCAAAAATAATATATTATTTCATATTGTTATATTATATATTATTACAATAAGGTCATATTTTAGTTAAATGGGAAGATGACGAAAATAAACCGTATATAGTATGTATTAGTACTTAGAAATAATTTTGATTAATAATTAATTTAATTATTAAATTACACGGCTTCGAAAAGCTAAGGGGGCTTGCGCCAATCCTAAAAATGTTTGAAAATCATCTAGTATCCATCAAAATTTTCAGCTCCTACGTCATATATATTTTGCTGTATGGATCTGAGACTTGGTATGTGACTACAGCTATTACTCATAAGTTACAAACGTTTGTAAATAGATGTCTGTGTCAGTTTTTAAGAATATGGTGGCCACGAACTATTAACAATGAACGTAGCAATTGATAAAGAAATAATTCAGAGGAAATAAGAATGGCTGGGACATGCTCTTTGCAAGTCAAACACCGAAATTGTTAATGCTACACCATATAAGAAGAAATCATAGGAATGAAGGAATCGCGGTCGGCCGAGCACAACATGGAGAAGAACCATCAGCAATAACGCGCGATCATAGTAATTGAAAATCTCTAGTGATTAGATTAAGTTTATAAATATTATTTATGACATATCAATATTTATAATAATAATTGATTTATTACAATTATTTTAAAAATCATAAGGAACCATACAAAATAGGAAACAACATGCCTATGTAGCATAAAAAATGACAACTTATTAACTATCGTTAAAATGAACGGCTAAATTACTTAGATAATTACTTAATATATGAGTTTCTTACAAATATCATTTCTATTTCGAATTTTTCTATTTCTTATTATAAATGTTATAGTGCGAAATTTCACTTATTTTACACACTACGGAAAAAACTAAGAAATGTTTTTCCCCGAAAACTTACTGTTAAATACATGTAATTGCACTGTTATTATTATTTTTTTTTTTTTGTGTGTATTCTCATATGTGAGGGAAAAAAACAAATTACATTGTAACTGCAATTATGTCTGCAATTCACATTATTGCACCTGAAGTGTGAAATGTCTTCCGGTATATTTGATACACTTAATTTTTCTTTTAAAACAAATTGTGAGCAGCGCAAGAAGAAATCCACCTTAGCAAAAAGCGTTAACAATAAGTGAACCGTGTCAAATGAAAAGCTGAGAAAACTACAAATGTTTTCAGTAACATGCCAAATCGCTGTTAGCACTTAAAACGCTAACACTGAGCCAAAATAATAGAAAAACGAAAAAGTATCTATATTTTAAGTAACAATTTTAAATGCAACTTAACAATGAATTAAGCATAACTTGGTCGGTGCAAAAGTAATTCAGTAGTTGTTTAGCTGATTATTGACGGCCTGACACTTATACGTGAATTAGTTGTGATATTGAAAGTAAATAGCAAAATCGCAGCTATTATTATAATAACTCAACTTAATATTTTTATTTAAATTTTTATACATCGCAAATTAGAAAACATACTACGGATTAAGTAAAGCAATCAAAATGAAAGTTAAATTGGTAAGGAAGAAAATGCTATATGGAAAATTGGATATTAATGTGTACAGTGAAAACCTTTCTGAAGTTTGTTAAGAAAGAAGTTCTTATTTAAGTACTTTTTAGATAATTTTGATCTCAAATTAATTAAGTTGTATTACAATTAATTTGATAAACGTAACGTTTAATTGGACTTCAATATTAGTTTGGGAAAATTTAGACATTGAGATACAGATTTAAAATTTACACTAATCACAACATTTGGTAACATTTTTTGATTACTTACTTACTTTACTTAGTTGGCCATTACAGACGTGAGTCGTCCTTGGCAGCGTCGAGTAGCCTCTGCCACCCACCCCGATTAGTTGCTTGCTGTCGCCAGTTGGTAGTACCGAGCGCCCCTAAATTGTTGGTCGTCTGGTCCTTCCACCAAATATGTGAAAGTCCTTTACCGTGTTTTCCACCTGCGGG